AAGAGAGATAATTATTATAATTAAAAATAAAGATTAATAATTTAGCTTAATAAAAGTAGATAAGAGTTAACTTATAAATAGATATATAGCTAATATCTAATTAAAGAAGTTTTATTATATATAATAATCAGGAGAATCACTATTCAAGAGAAATAAGTAATTTATTTTAAATACTAATATACTTATTCTTTTACTTGTGTTTCTTCTATCTCATAAAGATATCTATTAATAAGTAGGGGATTAGCTATCTAAACAATATCTATCCCAATCCCCATATTAATCAGCACACCACTGCTTGCAAAATAGTCATTTTAAATGCAATACAGGGTGGGCGGCTCAGTCAGGGTGGGCGACTCGGTTGGGAAATACGTTAATTGACTAGTGATTATTAATTTATCTATTATAATCTAGTCTTTCTAGCTGGTAGTTAATAGTAGGTAGATTAGACCTTTAGCTCCAATCTGGCCTGGCCATGATAGTTAATCAAAAGTCTATATCTTAACCTGACTGGTGGTTAATGGTCAGATTATAGTTAAGGTACAACAGTCAGGTTAATCCACTCTACTACTACTACTACCAAGATATGAGATTAAGTTCTCTTTGTTTCCTTTATTTAACATATTTATATTTCTTGAGCTATTATTATAGTGATTATTCGGTTGTTCTCCTATATAGATTATGAACTTCTCTAAGTAAAGTAGTATTCTGTCTGTCCCCAGTATATTGCTGATGTGGCAGGACTACTATTACTACTAGCGACATATTTTGCAAAGAAAATTAGCATGCTGTAGGGCATGTGGGAAACACCTCTTGAAAGCACAAGGTATTATCAAAATTTCAAAATGTAATTAATAGCGCAGATATGGATTGAAACGTCCAATTAGAATATGATTTCCCCAATTTAATCAAAAATTATTTCGCTTGTCCTGAGTCTTTGAAATATTAAGGATTGAAGGAAGCCTGTTTGTATAAATAGACATACTTTAGAGCAGAGATAAGTTGTATACATCATACAACCCTTCAACCTCCTATAAGATATTCGAGATCACAAGTATTGTTAATAATGACTACAAGGAGAGAGATAGGGAAAGTCCATGGCCTGGTCATTGGAATCCTGTCATCAATATTCAGGAAATGCATCGACTCAATGTTATCTAATACCACAGGATGAAAATGAGAAAGAGCCTGGGCCAATGTTACTTGGCTTCAATGAAGATCACTCATGATGTCCTCATCGGCATCAGCAGCATTGGCATTGCCTGCAGGGAAACTCCTGCCAATCTTTCCAGAATGGTCCACCCATCTCTGAGTCTTTTGCAAAAACTGGAAATGGTCATTGCCGAGATCCAGTTCGACGTTGCTTTGGTTGACGGTGTCCGCGAGTACTTGAAACGACTGGTCCGCTAATATAAGTTGACATTGCACCCGGCGTTCCTGAGGCAAGCGGGACTTTGCTCCACGAGCAAGCCGAAGCATCGAATGATCGTCATTATTTCGTGGGTGTAACAAGACAGCATCTAACATGTTAGACATGATTGTGCAAGCCACAAACTGTTCAATTCCTGAGGATGGTAAACAGCCTGATACACGGTGTGCTACATCCTGCATTGTGAGAGCACAAAAAGTTTTCCCTAACTTTGTAACCATGAATTTAGGGAAAGCTCGTATAACCTGAGAGACAAGGCCCAGGTTATTATCCTGCATTCAGTCAATTCCGAGATCCTAGAAATAGGGACCACTTCATGTTTTCACTCACCATGCACCACACGGATTGGGCGATCTCAATCTCAGCAATGAGTCCACGGTAGTCACCCCGCTCGAATGCTTCAGCAACGGATGCATACGGTTTGGTTAAGGACTGGTAGATTCTCGTGACATGGGACGCAATGATCCCAGGCTCCGGCGTTAGCTGATTTATCAACACGTTAGCTGCTCCGGCATCTATTAAGTGACAGCTTGGCGGATTTTACCCTTCCATGGCCGAGGAGGCTAACTAGAATCCATTTCTTGTATGCTTCCACCATGATTTTGCTGACTGAATTTGTAACAGGAGAAGCAATCACCATACTTAAACAGTGTTGGGCCTTGGACCACTGCTTCAGTGCCATATAAACCATCGACCCATATAGAAGGTATTGGAGACAATCTCTGTATGTCAGCTTCGAAGAGAAATCTGCATTCTCATCGATCAATGCATCGCTAGGTTCATGGACTGCACAAGGCAAATGACGATGGTGCCTTTGATATGCTTGACCCGTGGTTGTAGGGAATAGATAGATTTGTCTATCCAGAACTGGTAACGCATGACCGTATGAATTTGATAGTAAACAAAGCCTAACAAAGACAAGGTGTATAGAAGTGAAAACCCGCGAGCGAGGATCTATTTTGAGTATAGAATCTTTCATGATTTGAACTGCTAGTAGGGGCTATACAAGTCAGTAACAACACCACTACACTAGAAGCAGGTCCACGCCACCCTACCTTTGAAACAGCCAGGGCAGCTTGGGATACAAGGTGAACAATGTTCCGCCATTCCTGACCGGCATATCTCATTTGTATAGGGTCAAATTGTTGTAAGAAAAGAACGGCCCATCCCCATGAATTGCCTCCCGGAAGTACATCATCTGGTAAGATGTTTTTGGTATTGTTCTGGATGGATTGTATGCGATAGTTGAGCACATAGAGATATGACAGGGAATGCTCTGATGGGTCAAGATTCTGCACATGAACAACATTAGCCGCTACTGCTTTGGAATGTATGATACATGAGAGCTATGGACAACACGAGATATGGACAAATGGGTCAGGGGAATTTGCTTACATCTAAAAGATACTGACTAGCATTCGCAATGTCAGAAGGCTTGCCTGGTTGCTTAAGGTAGGAAATGAGGTCACGGATTTGGCTATCATATTTCTCGTTATGCACACCGTGTGGAGATTGTGAACGGGGAGGCAGAGATGTCAGGCGGGTAAGGATCTCTGCCATGGTCATAGACATATGGCACGATCAAATGTGTATCTTGGATGTATCGAACGTATCGATGAAGACTTGCAGAGATAGAAGAAATTGAAGCACTGTAGCATGGAACGGTCCGTTTGATAATGCTGCCAATGGCCAATTAGTTGGTTGTACTGAGGCTGGAAAGTCTGCGTCATTTCAAGTATTGGCGGGGGGTTCTGGGCTATCATGCATAGGTATGAGTTTATGTAGGCCACCGCTTTTATCGTAACATGCCCCCGATTCGTCCTACTTTGTATGTGACAATAACAGGTAACGTGTATTTTACAAGAATAAACAAAGCGACCCACGCTTATACGTTACTTAAACTGACATGAGAACTGGACCCTTCCATGGAAGCCCGGTGTTTAATCTGAAGCATGGGCTTGATACCAGGCATGCTCTAGGGGCTTTAATTAAGGGCGGGTATTACTTCACTCAGTTCACAAAACTCCTTGGCAGCGGTCTTCTTTGTGACTTCTGATTAGTCATACAAGCATAAGTTGGTGAAGAGCAAAGTCAGTACCGAGAAAGCAGGAGCAATTCCGAATGCCGTCATTTTTCGCTGAACTCGCACCGATATAACAATCCATTTTACTTATTGACACACACTCATTTCTATTGACAATTTACCGGTCAGGTTTACGAATCCTCAAGACTTTACCAATGTCTCTTACGGAATCATCTGCCCATGACATCGCTAAGGCTGGCTCTCTAGCCTCTCGTCGTCTAGCCGTCCTGTCCGAAATAGACCGCAATGAGGCATTGACATCACTTCACAATGCCTTGTCAAAGAACAAGAGTTCCATCTTGGAGGCAAATTCTAGGGATGTGGAGATCGCGACGTGTGCTGCAGAAAGCGGTAACCTGAGCCACAGTGTCCTAAAGCGACTCGACTTATCGAGGCCGGGAAAGTATGATGACATGTTGCAGGGTATATTGAGTGTGCGGGATCTAAAGGATCCGAGTGAGTGTCTGAAGACCGGTTTTTGTTAACTTTTACTGACGGCGTCAAAGTCGGAGATGTCACCCTACGGACGCTTGTAGACGACGGACTTGTTCTAGAAAGAGTGAGCTGCCCAATTGGTGTCTTGCTCATTATTTTTGAAGCTCGCCCAGAGGTCATTGCAAATATAGCGGCGTTGGCAATTAAATCAGGGAATTCTGCAATCCTCAAAGGTAAAAACATGATAATATGCCCTATGTTTTCCCGCGAATTGCTCATTGTTTGCTGACCCGTAAAAAGGTGGGAAAGAGTCGACGCAAACCTTCGTTACTATCTCGAAAGTTATCTCTGAGGCCATTTCAAATACCAAGGTTCCTGAGTCATCAGTTCAACTAGTTGTAACAAGAGATGTCGTTGCCTCATTACTTGCCCAGGACAGACTAATCGACCTCGTCATCCCTCGAGGTTCGAACGATCTCGTCCGTTACGTCAAGGATAATACGAAAATCCCTGTACTTGGTCATGCCGATGGGATTTGTTCCGCATACCTTCACTCTGATGCAGACGCAGACATTGCCATTAAGGTAGTCGTGGACTCCAAAACCGATTACCCGGCCGCTTGCAATTCCCTTGAAACATTGCTCGTGCATCAGGATTGCCTTGAGACTATTTTCCCCAAGATCGCCGAAGCACTATTCACGAAACGGGTGTGTCTCCGCTGTGACGCACCTGCAAAAGCGGCGCTATCAGAGAAATTGCCAACTATACCGGATGGCTTGCTGCTGGATGCTACCGATGCCGACTATGATACCGAGTTTTTGGACCTCATCTTGGCTGTCAAAACAATTGCCTCGACATCGCAGCCCAGCGCTGCTATTGAAAAGGCAGTTGATCATATAAATTCACATTCGTCTGGACACACCGACGTCATCTTGACTGCGTCAAAGCAGGCAGCAGACATGTTCATGAACAGCATTGATAGTGCGGGTGTCTTCTGGAATGCTTCGACAAGATTCGCAGACGGGATGAGGTATGGTTTTGGTACTGAGGTTGGGATCAGTACGAACAAGATACACACGAGAGGCCCGGTTGGACTGGATGGTTTGACCATCTACAAGTATAAGCTTAGGGGGGAAGGCCACACCGCGGGTGATTACCATGAAGGTGCTGGGGGTAAGAGGTGGAAACATGAAAGTTTGCCGGTACATAACATCAGTTAGTTTGCGATTTGTCAACGCCTCATTTAGAAAACATATTCATTTCATTTCCACCTCGATTTCACATCTACGTGAATTTCTAATCAACCCACGACATTTGCTTTTGTTGCCACGTCGGCTAGAAATTCCGAAGCTAGCCAAGAAATGAGCCAGTCAACAAAGTACAGGTATAACCCTGTCCGATATTCCAGTTGACCGTCGCCGATTTTGCGATCAAGATCCACAATGAGAGAGAGCAATCCCTTAGACCTTGAAACCGCGAGACCTTCTCCGGCCGCGGGCTCTCTCGAACTTCCGACCCTTGCTTCTCACATAGGGTTTCTGCCACACGTTAGCATTAGACCTCCGGACACCACTTTCAACAGCCCTATAAAAAGTAGACATACCTTGTGGCTATGGGGGCCGAAGCCGAAGTGCTTAACAGCCTCGCGGGAGTTCTTCGGGCCACGAAGGAGAAGCGTGTTGGCTCCAGTAGGCGCACGGAGAGCCAGCTGGTCCAAAGTCATGGTCTCACCTCCAGCCTTCTCGATTCTGGCTCTGGCAGTAGCGGTGAAGCGCAGAGCAGCAACGGACAGCTTCGGGACGTTAAGAAGGCGGTTGTCATCCGTGACGCTGCCGATGACGACGACAGTCTTGCCCTTGTGGGATTCGGTCACGTTAGACGCAAGACGCGAGAGCGAAACAGGCGGGCGGTTGATTCTCGACATAAAGAGTCGACGCAACACAACCTTGTTGAAGTTCGAATCCGTGCGGCCTATGAAGTAAACATCTCGTTAGTCTCGAGCAGTCCGCGTGTTGCAGTTGAATAGGCAGGTCCAGTCGTACGGGAGAGGAAGCGGTACAGCTTCACGAGAACTTGAAGGTAAACGTTCTCGCTCTTCGGCGCCTTGCGGTGGCTGCTGCGCACATGGTGGCGGTCCAAGTCGATACCTATATTTTAAGATTAGAAAGAATGTCACCTGAATTACTCGAAAATTGCATGTAAAGAGATATGCATGAAATAAACAAGTCTTATCATTCAAAACCAACTTCAAAAGGGTGTGAAACATACCCATGGCTGCTGGTGATGGGGATACCTGGAGGTTAGCTAGCTGTCGCACCCGTATGCGAAGTCAAGCTGGTGAGGTTTTCGATCTACGATTTTACAACCGGACGGTGTGTGCGGGTTGTGCCCTACCTTACTAATCACCCAAAAATCCCGAATCAGCGTAGTCAGCAATCAGGTAACTTGTTAGTTTAGTAACTCTGTAAAGCAAAGACATGAGTTTGTAATCTTTTCCAACCTCGTAATATCTCAAAGTTCAGTCCCTACTACATTACCTAAGTAAAAGCTGGCACTCACCAACATATTTGCAAGGAATTAGCAAGGTGTCGAATACGCTGGGTACTTCTACCTGTTGATCTGGAGATGTCGGTATCTCCGACGACGGCTCATATGGTGGTGTTATCACTCATGAACAGACGATTACCCTGTCCCTATTGTCCCCCCGTCTGCTTTCTGCTGGCACTGCTTATTCCAATTCGCCGGCCGTGCATGGGTACTATTATACCATACCTTGCCATCATCAGTAGCGAACTATGGCTGAGTTCATCATTTGGATCGAGGTCCAAATACATATCTCTAGTCAACTTACCAAAGTATTCGCGAGTGCTAGAAACTGTTATTTTAATCAATAAATTTTCAGAATTTGTAGACAGACGGCGTCCTTTGGTTATCCATTATCAATCAAGTCAACAGCAGATCCCATACAACAGGGAATCGGAATGAGTTACTGTTCTCAACGCGACTCAAAGATGTATGTGTCGGCCGTGGCTTCCTCTGATACTTTCTGATACTTTCTTGTAAAACACATCCAGAGGCTCACTCCTTGGAGTAGAATTCCATAGGCGGGTCCAGATCCGTCACATCTTTACAACGTGCATAAACCAAAAAACGTACAAATAATGGTTCTCTAAGAATACGCTAGACCCGAAGTGGCTGTAGCATTCTTGAAAACTCTAAGAAAGAATTAAGCAAGGGCCTAGACCAGGGGTTTCTTATGGAGTCATGGCAGCCATGTAAATGTCAACTGGGGTTGCCCAAAGAAAATGACACTTGCCATGTTGCTTTTCTTCTTCTAATCATCTTAAACTACTTGGTAAGTATTGTTGTCTTTTGGACTATCAAGGTAAGCGTCCCATCGTCGGCCCGCCATCAGTTTCAGTACTCCCCTTGGAGTAGAATTCCATAGGTGGACCCAGATCCGTCACGTCTTTACAACATGCATCACCAAATTGACTTAAGTTCGTCCAGGTACCTGGTCATCCTGTCTATGCACATGTAGACTTGGCCCTGCAGCTTCAAGCTTAATTCGATATCAAATGAACATACTTGAATTACATTCTCAAACATATTTTATACAAATTCTCTTTTAACCCTGTTTACACAACGCATTGAGCTAGATCGCTTGAATTCATAAAACAGCCAATCAATTAGATTAGCCAGTAACGGTTATTGAGAAACACTACCGTCAATGTACGCCCGGCCCTCTTAGTCTAGTTATAAAGATTGACTGAATACTCCCGTGCAGAGTACTGATCAAGTCTGGGACATAGGGGAAGTCGTGATACATGAATATGGTTGTGGAAAAAAGGAACGAGAATTCTAAGAAAGAATCTGAGCCGGAAGTTAGAATTGATGAGAGAGTACGTGCATTGGCTACCTTGGATAATGCAAATTTACAAATTGATTACAAGATGAGTTATCCCATATTTATGGGCCCTTTATCTTGTGTTAGAAGGTAGATTTCTATCGCACTGATTGGACGTAAGGACATGATGGCTAAAGAGACAGCTGATCTATATATTGTTATAGGACACGAGGTGGATTCGTGAGAGTTCACTTGTCGCCTAATTCAACGAGGTAATCTCTTACTAGCTCAAAGCTGAGCCAACTGCTAGCCATACTGGGCGCCACTTTGAGGAGATTCGGGACTATCCCCTTGAAAAGACCACGTAATCCTTCATTAGCCACAATGACTTTCACAGCATCCCAAATTGAAGAGTATTGATAACCCATCCCAGTCATTGTGTTGATTTGAAAGCGTCGACGCAGAACATCACTAAGATAAACGGATAAGCCAATGAGTCCCACTGATAGTTGGGGAAAGCAGAGGAGGTTTCATCCTAACCACTCTTACGAGTCAAATGAAAAGGAAAAGAACTTACAAAGGATATGTGCACGTCTGGGCAACTGCGCCAGAAATTGCCCCAGCCAAAAGCTTACGTAGGGAATCTGGCGTCTTATCCCCTTCTGGCGTTAAATATGTGCGAACCGATTCATATGTCATGAAATTAAGACCAACCTGAACAACAGTCAGTGATAATCAGCATGTTGGGTTTGTCAGACTCACATATGGAGCAACACCGGCAACTGTGGGGACGATACCCCGATAGAGACCTATGATACCACCCTCATTTTTGTATATGAGAACCATGGTACGAAACATCCCTGGTAGCTTTTTGTCGGGACCGCTCTGACTGAGGACAGCAAAAGAAGCTGACTGAATTGAAAGCCGTGTCCGGACGATATCCAGAGGGTAAGTTATTACGACAGACGTAATACCGGCAGCACCTCCACAAATGAGGCGGCGCACCGGTGATAAATCCGCATTTGGTGAAGGTTCCGCAAACTTGAAACAAAGTTTTGTTAAAGACTAAGCGTAGCAAATGATTGAGAGGTGGGAAGAGAGAGAGCCCTGTGGGATTTGTATGAGATTGATAGTCCAACTCACTTTCTTATAGAAGTTATAGCTCCCAAACTGTACCGCAGAGTAGGGAACAATGCGTATGCAATTTGTGCCATTGCCTCGCATAAAACCTCTCCAGCCTTCTTCCTTTCCTATTTTGACAAGAGCTTTCCATATAGATAACCTATACTCTTCCCTGCCAACGCTTTGTATCTGAAGAAGAATCTTTAGGCGCTCAAGAGGCGAGACAATTGTTCTGGAGACTGCACCGGCCACGCCACCGCCAACAAAGGCTGCCGCTACCGGCTCAGAGACCCTTCCCTTGATTTCTCGAAGGAAATTAGGCGTGCTGGTAGTAAATTTATCCTGGGACAATAAGTAATGAAAATTGAGGAGCAAATGGGATTAGCCGTACCTCGACGGGCGTAGACGAAGGCGGCAATGGAGGCAGATGGCTCATAGACTTTTCCCTGACGCCCTTCGTTTCATCGCGTTGAGCTCCGTTTTGGCGATCTAGGCTCATTTTGCGGCTGAGAACCCAGCATCCGAATGCTATAGGTGCCTTAAGCTATCCTTGAGAATTGACGAACGTCCGTTACATGGATCGCACGAATCTGTAGGCAATTCCGATTGTGTTCCTCTCGTCGTCCTAGTCGAGCTTCGAGCATTCAACGAATGAGACCTAACAGGATACTAATATGGTTCCCGGTTTGTTCAGTTGTTGCTGTAGAACCATGAGAGCGACTTAATCCCAATCAAAGCAGCATGTTGAGAGGACACAGCCGTGTGGATATCCTTAGGAGGAAGCCTGTTGGAAAGAGCCGATAGCGTGACAGTCAAGATTATGTCGCTTAGTTGTGCTGCTTTCAAGTGTTGATTCACTGTAGGTATCAATCTTCTGTAGTTCTAGCAGTAATTTGATCATGATTAGTACTAGAGTACGATAAAAAGGAGAGAAACACTCACCTGAGATTAGGAGGATTTGTCAGTCTAGGTAATAGCAAAAGAAGTTAAGAGTGGGTGGTGATCAGAAACAGTGAAGCTGTCTTGTTTACCATCACCATCCAAGGCACACTCCGTGGAACAGTTAACTAGTTCAACTTGTTCATTGACTAACTCCCTACTCCCTAATAACAGCTTCCACCAGTCAAGTGGTCTCAAGGTTTGGTGGTCCGAGCCACATACCCCTGTAATTACTGCCCTACCAATACTCCGTACAATTCAATTATACGCCTATTTTGAGGAACAGATTCGTTGTCCGTGTCAAGGCTTTGTTACTTCGTACTGCCCAAGTAATAAACTCCCGAAGGCCTCTCAAAGATACTACGAGGGTTTCGGATGGCCTGAAATGATCAGGCTGCTTTATGCACTGCTAGGCTGTATAATTTATTACCGGCTATCTCCTAGCTCTCAAAAGTGAACAAATTTATGCTCTCAGCGGAGTAAATCAAAGGAAGCAGGCGATATTACAATGTACTGACAGTAGGCAAGTAAGTACCAAGGTACGGAGTAGTACGAAGTACGGATAGATGTTTGCTTATATGTGCTGGTGGTACCTGCTGAGGTTGTTTCACCGATGACCATGGTATCATATGTGTATTGTATGCAAACCTTGAAGTACCATACAGACGCTGTACATCTCGCTAACTGTAACTGGCGCTCAGGTAATATTAATAACGTCGTCTATGGTGTTTAAGGCCAGCCGTAGTCTCATGGTCATTCTTCAACTTCCTCATTTACTGATACTGTCCTGATTGCTCCCACCATCTGGCATCCAACCTACAACTTATCACTGTAGTGTTGCCCGTGCTACCCCGATATTCCACACGATCCACTCAACGCCCCCAACGAAAATGTCGCGCCCTGGTACTACTCTCTATGTTACCGGCTTCGGGCACGGCACTCGAGCTCGCGACTTAGCCTACGAATTCGAACGGTACGTTCGGCTCGTCGATTCTCACACGCTACAATGACCAGACGAATCGTTGCCCTTTCCGCAATATCCCTACCTCGTCGGAGTCTCGCGATGTCGACGCCGGAACTCGTCTTTCCCCTACTTTAGGAGATGTGATCCTATCCACTAGCTCCCTCCCCTCTCCCCTTTATCCATAGTCACCTTGCTGTGGAATCGCCCGAATGCATTGTTTTTGCACCGATTAGCCAAAATCACCCTTGCTGTTCATATTCGGCTGAAACTTTTACAAATATTCTGACCTCATCCTAGATATGGTCGCCTTGTTCGTTGTGACATCCCGGCCCCGCGTACGCCCTCTAGCAGACTGTGTGTTTATCCCTGTTTCGAAGCCTGCGTTTTTTCTCATACTAATCGGTGTAAGGTTTGCATTCGTCGAATATGAAAGCCGCCGTGACGCCGACGATGCCTATCACGAAATGCACAACAAACGGATTGGCAGAGATGATTTGCTGAAAATTGAAGTAAGTCCCGAAAAGTAGGATTCTCGTTTCGCTAGCTGACAATATCTTCAAGTGGGCCCGAACTCCTCCATCGGCCTCATGGCGTTTCGATTCTGGTCGTGACCGTCGCCGTGACCGTACCCCTCCTCGCCGTGGTCGTTCCCCATCCCCGCGCCGGGGTCGCAGTGACTACTCGCCTCGTCGGGATGATAGGTACGAGCGAGAGTTTGAACGGCCTGATCGCGACTACGAGCGCCGTGATCGCGACTACGAGCGCCGTGATCGCGACTATGACCGCCGTGATCGCGAGCGCGAGCGCTCTCGTGATCGCTCTCGCAGCCCTGATGACAGAGAACGTGAAATCAAAGATGATAGGGATCGCCGTGATGATGATCGTGAAAGACGCGAAGACGAGCGCGAAAATGGTCCAAATGGCGAGGATAGAAAAGGTACAGTTGTCACAGTCCCTGAACCGTTTCGCCTTTTAGCATCATCACCACCTTTCCACCCAGAGCAAGAAGATAAAGGAGAGTGGATCGGTACGTGGTATTGGAGATCAAACTAGTTACTGACCGGGATAGCTTCCCTAGACCCTTTAACTTCCGTCCATGATGAGCTCGACACCGCCGAGTAGGGCGGTAAAACCCATTCATCGCACCAGCCTCTCCTGTGTTCTGCCGAGGAGCAGGCGACTAAATGGAGAAAGATGAAGGACTTTTTCCCCATTGCTGATACCACGCTGTTAGATCAGCAAATTGAAACGAACATGAACACTGCCAGGAGAAATTGTACACCGGTATTTGTCCTAGACACCGAATCACCCTTTCTTGTTTGTTGTATACTCTCAATGTCTTAATCGTTACTGTCACAGTTGCTTCCGACGAAACGGGAAGTGGAGGAGAGCAAAACCAGGGCAAAATGATCCTTATCAATGGTGAAATGAGTTAAAATAGGGATCATAAACTCAGGGGTTTGGTTTGGTTTTTCGTGATTGGGTTTATTTATTCATTCTGGTCAGCAGCTCGAATTTTTGCCGAACGAATCTCCTTACTCCGCCAGTTTTGTCGTCATTGCGTTCCACACGATCTTCGGCGGCCCGTCGTCCGTTTTAATCACAAATTAAGTCGATTAACATTCCTTTGACCCGTCCCGTACGAACCGTCGATACGAGCGAACTTCCCATTATTGTCTCTCGAGACCGATTGTAACATCATAGTGGAACTGAATTAGTAGTAGTAACAATAACTTCGACGCGCGGTGGAGTGCCAGACTGAGAAGCGGAAGGCCAAACAGTGATTATATAAAACCATCAAATTTATGTAAAGGTATATGAATTGAAGGTCGGATGCTTACTCAAATGTTCCATATTCTCATTATGATCGCAAGGCTCAAAAAAAGACTTCTTGAGTCAGTTTATCAACATCGTTGAGGCAACAGGAGCAACGTAATTACGCATGAACTGTAGCAGTAGCCATGCCGTTGTTGAATCTGATGACACTTCGAATGTTGTCTATGCCGATTTTGTCAAAATGCGTGAATTGAGCTCGAAGGTCCGCCCTGAGCGACTACAGCTGGTATATGATATATGGGAACCCCTTTCATAACTCAATCTTCCGCAGGAGATGCTATGACTTACACTCTATGTACATCTTGAGAAATACCACCTCCCTGGCGGCAAAACCACCACAAACGGCGCGGAGCGACCCTATTTTCCATGGCGTTTAATGGTATCCAAAATTCTGTTAGTTCTATACGTCATATCTAGTTTGTTGTTGCGCTAGTATCAAGAGACAACTATCAAGGAAGCAAGATTTTTAGTCGAACTAGCACTTGGATGGACAGGTAGAGCAAGTGACGGATATGCAATTTACTGACTTGATAGGTTTAACCTGGCATAGATTGAGAGACCCTTTTCTTTCTTTTTCTTGTTCTTTTATCACATGATAAAGAATGTGTATGTAGCCACGCCATGAAACTATTTACGAAGTTGTCATGCGGGAGTGCGTCAGGGGGTGTGCCACGGTATTATGTTTGGAGGGCGGAGACGCAAGTAAATATCAGTTGGCTTCCTTTGTGGTTACCTTCTAGTGTGTACACTGAGCTCATTCGGCACTGCATCAACTGGGCCTATACTCCCTGCCATGTCATCTAAAGGCCATAACGCGTAGAGTAATGGAAACATGGTACATGTACTGTATATGCGTTTGAACCGACTTCAGATATAAAAATTTTTTGATCAGACCTAAATTAGACACTGATAGCGGTGCCTGCCAGGCTCGAGACTTGGCCCTTGTGCCTATCCATGTAGTATGAAGTATAATGGACTAACGCTGCTATATTGTTTTATTGGTTGAGCTGCACTACTAAAAACACAAAAGAGAAACGAGACTGAAGGTAGCGGATAAGGAAAAACGCTTGTTCCCTGCAACTGACCGTTGTTGGCATAGCTTGGATTAAACATAATCTATTGCATCTTCTCATATGCAGCCATAAGAGAACCTTTCGACAAAGTCAGTCACTACTGCTAATACAGCTCTAGGGTTTTGAAGGAAGACTCACCAATGAAGGTCGTGATAAGCCGAGAGCGAACTTGGCAGATATCCTCAGGAACAAGCCAAATTGTTGCACCCAGCTTTCTTGCGATGCTGATACTCAATTTCGCATTCGCATAAGCTTCTTCATCAGTGCGGCCGGAGGTGACGAGGTCATAGTCCACGTAGCTACTCTTAATGCCGCTGAGCACGTCAAGGAGGAATATGCCCGAGCCAATAGACGGATCCTTGAAGCTGCGTATGGTTGAAGCTTTGCCACCCTTCCGTGACATATCATTGGCCCAGCGGATCATTTCTGAATCTGTAATTTCACGCTTGCCCATCCGCTGTGCCAAGCTCGACAATGTATTTGTGATGTCCCTTCTCATCAATTGCCACACCAACCCAAGGGTAAGGGTCCGTTGACCGTCAGTAATATCGGCACCTTGGACGCCAACTAGGGAAAATCCAACATGCTTTCCAAGCTCGGTAGCATAGTTTGTGTTTTCAACTGCCTTGAAACGTATCATCTCATTACCAGATGCCGGAGGCTTGTTGACGTGTCTCCAATTGACGCTCCCTGGAATCACCTTGTCATAGGCTTGTAGCAGGATGGTGCCGTCGCGAAGATCATCAAAGAGAGAATTGACTGCTGGCTGAACATCCAGCGAGTTCAGCCAAAGCGTAAAAACCCTAGCTTCGCGTTCTCCCTCTGCGTCGAAATCTTCCACCTCAAGTTTGTCCTCCTCCGTGATTGGGTCAAGGCCTGGTATCGTGTTGAACAAATTGGCCACAAAAGCGAGATTGAGTTTGGGATTTCCAGCAACTAGAGAGGTTGGAGTGAGGAACTTGCGACATCCTACTTGATCTGCATTGGTCAGTACCTGCTCAGCTCGCTGAAGCAGGTCTCTGGTTTGAAGGGGACCCCGCGAGCATGTATCGGGTGCTAATTGGTTAAGAAGAACGGTATAGTTTTCACCATCTTTCACATCGGAGGAGAAATTAGTCACCCTGCGAAGGTATCAGCAAATGGTTTGCTCTGGGAGATTCCGAAAGAACACTGCTCAATGGTCCACGGGTTGTTTGGGAAAATTAGAGTTGGCTGAGCACACTCACCTTCGATCCCATTTAGCATTTTTCAAATGATAGTTGAACCAGCGCAATAAAATTTGCTCTGGAGGCAAACGAAGAAATTGCTCTAGCGTCTCATCATCCTCCAAGAGCCTATAAAGCTCAGGGTGGAGTTTGATGTCAATCTTGCCGAGCAGACCCCGACGGATGATCTGCCATATCAGACCTAAGATAAGGTGTTCGCGAACTTCTATGATATCGCCACTTCCGATATTCACGACCGAGCAACCAATGCCTTTGGCAGAGTTAATCACTATGTTATTATTCTCGGTCATATGAAATGCGTTCAGGCTCTTGATCTTCTTTCCTGGTTTATTCAGAACACGTTCGTCGATAGTGTCCGGAACGCTATCGTTTATCAGTTTTGCCAGAACAAGACCATCCTTGCACTTGTCGAACATCTCGAAGGTGTCTGTGGGAAATGGAAGAAGGTCACCGATATCGGGGTCGCCAGCAAGAATAGCATTGATGTGTCTTGTGAACTCAGTTCTTTCGTCTTCGTTAATGGTGTGGGTTACGTTCGCAGAAGAACCTTGTACTTGGATTCTTCCCCCGATGCTGCCTTTGGAGACATGGCGAGACGCGCCAGCTCCGCCCCCAGGGACCGCTGCAGGAGAGCTTGGGTCACGAACAGGTTTGTTATTTGCTGGAGTAGAACGAAGTTTAGAGATAAGCTGTTATATTGCCCCATTAGTCACTTTACAAAACATGTAGTAACAGGGAATGTTTCACTAACATCAACATAGTCTTCGAGTTCCACTCTGCGAGAGCTATCAAGCTCAACCTCTTTCAAGGCCTGCCGAACAACATCATAGGGCTGGCGCTCGGATTGTTGGGTGGCCTTTATAACAGTCGTCTCATCCAGAGAACCTCTGTCATCGAGATCTAGCTTCCGAAACGAATCTTGGAGAGCAAAGATCTCCCCTTGTTCAAACTGCGGGAATTTCCTGTGTAATTGAAAAAAGCAGTTAGAATCGATGCCACCAAACGATATTGGACCCTAGACCTAGAGCAAGAATAAGGCGGGAGAGTTAATGAAGACTGGGATGAACAAACTTTTGGAGTTTAATCACGTTCATCTTTGTGTTTCGCTCTTCGCAGTAAGAGTTGGTTTGGTATTCCAGGCCAGAAATGGCGGGTGTTGTAAAGAGTCGCTGGCAATTCGAGGCGAAATGAAGAACCAACGTGACAAAACAATCAAGCTTTCAAGAGCAAAATATTGTGACTCGAAACCGTGGGACAGATCCGAGTATGTTCTGACTGAAAGGTGGATATGAGTGATGCTCAATCAATTGATGCTCATGGTTAGGTGGCCTAGACAGTGCTCAATTATTCCCCCCTGGAGAACGATGTGGAAAAGCGGGGTGGGGTCGACTGAGCAAAGGGCAACAATAAGCCAGACTACTACGTACGCCCACAGTATCGATGGGATTTCGTCCCCAAGGCAGCATCGACGGTATTAACCCGGGAGCCTAATATGTAAAACTCGATGATCTTAGAATTTCTAGCCAATTATCAGTGTTGCAAATGTGATGTATTCGCGATCCAGTTACTTATGTATTGAATCTCTCGGGTGACAATGACGCAGTGGACTCGGCTCAGAGGGGCAATGCTTCCACATGCTGAATGTTGGCTGGCCCACCAAGCAAGTTTGGTAACTTACGTTAGTTACGTATTATTACTGCATAAGCCGTATTCAAATCTCCGATCTGCAACTTGTTCCCATGCAGAAGCTACCGAGTGTTTAGTACTTACTGTATCTTCAACTTCTTTTCTGATACGACTGAAGCTTAGTATTCTCTTCTCTGAACGACTCGGTTCCTACCTGAAAGCGTTTGATTAACCAAATTGGCTCGCGTTTCAAACATCCGAGCTCTCCAGGGCTCCATGTCTGGGGAAACTTATCGAGGGACATTCCTGGGGTCAATATCTCCCTGGGGTGTCTCTAGAAGCCAGACACCCCAACAAGCGATTACACATGGCAATGATCCAGGTGTTTTACAACGTTCCCAGGGCGAAGACCATACTGTCACACATAGACACAGAATCAGCTTGCATCGGTACCCGAAAGACTGTCCTCCTCTGAAAGTAAGATGGTTCTACGCTGTCGACTCGCCCAAATGGAAACCGGCGCTCTTCGATAAGGAGAGTCATGAAACGAAACAACTAGCTTCCCCGAAAAAATTCGTTCCTTTTTCCAATAAAGATTCAGAGGCTATTGAAACTACATTCCAAAAGTTTTCTGAATTGGAGCTTGGGGGCGAAAACCCCAACCCCAGGCATGGCGAAGACCATGATTGCGGGCGCAGCACATCAACCAAGGTGCCCGTCAACGAGGATTATCTATTTGATGTGGACGTGGACCGCAGAGAACTCAGCCCTGCCTACTGGAAAGGGCCCATATATGAAGTGCGCCGTGGGACTTGGTTCTTTCAGGACGGCTCCACTATCAAACCATGCGAGGAAAATCTCGCTACCCAGCTTGAAGAAGGTTATCTTAAAGTAAAGCCATGGCGGATACCAAACAGACGGCTTCAATCTCATCCTAGCCAGCATTCATCTACTTTGCCAGCCGATGATCAAAACTCAAGTGCCATAAATTCAAATACGGTCTTTGATTCCCCCGGTCCAACCGAGTTAACCTCGTCTGCATATCACAAAGATAACGCCAACATGCCCCCTACTCCGGCCAACCAGTCTCAAAGCTATAGACTATTTGGTGCTTACATGAACAGCATAGCTACGTATCAAGACTCTTCAAAAGCATTGTTGGCCAACGATGACTTCATGTCTAGGGTGAGCACAACTGTTTATCAAAAGTTAGGCGGTGTTCCTGGAACAAAGGTAGTGCGTGGATTCAGTGATGCGAGGAAGCAAAAGGAACCAGCTTCCAACAACATTGCGCGGAAATCAGATACAGGGTCGCCCTCTGGCTTTCCTGGGACGATTCCTACGGATTCTCAAGACAAAGCCCAAACAGAGACCCTCAAAAGCAGCACAGCTCATGGCCAAAGCCCAGGTAACCAAGGCGTTTCGGACAAAAGTCCAAGATCAACCCTGGAAAGACAAATGTCTTCTCTTGCCGGCGAACCACAGAATACAGATGAACTCGAAGAGCAAGCGCGTAGGCAGGAGGAGAAGGAGATGGAAGATTCGCGAGAAATCGACAATGAAGATAGGGAACGGGAAGTTGATCATTTGATCCTTGTTACACATGGGATTGGCCAAAGGCTGGGCTTACGCTTAGAAAGCATAAACTTTATACACGATGTCAATGTCCTGCGCAAGACTATGAAGGGGGTATATTTAGCCTCGCCTGGCCTCCAGGAATTAAATTCTTCATACGCAGATAAGCACAAAAATTGTCGGGTTCAGGTACTTCCTGTGTAGGTCTACAATTGCGGGATCACGATAAAGAACATGCATGGATGTGTGCTGATCAATCTTAGGAGCTGGAGGCATCTTCTTGACTTTCCACACCACGGTGTAAGGCAAAACCGAAAAGAACTTGATCTTACGGACGCAGACGTCTTAGACAGTGACCTTTACCCAAGCCTCGCCGACATTACGCTAGACAGCGTGCCGTCGGTACGAAATCTGATATCTGACTTGGCAATGGACGTGCTCTTATACCAAAGTGCATATTGCGAGCACATTTCTACCATTGTCAAGGATGAGTGCAATCGCATTGTCAAGCTTTATAAGGAACGAAACCCGTCGTTCCAGGGATCGGTGATTCTTTGTGGCCATTCCCTTGGTAGTGCCATTCTCTTTGATATACTGTGCCATCAAGACCAAAATCCCAGCTCTACAAAGCAAGATTCTGGTGCGGATACGAGCATTGGCCAGCAAGAAGCATCTCCAAGTCGTTCGTTTGACTTTAAATGTGAGGAATTTTTTTGTTTGGGGTCACCAATTGCACTTTTCCAGATGCTCAAAGGAAAGACAATCTCCGGCAGAAGATCTGTCTATCCGTCGCCGCCACCAAACGCCTCCACGCGCTATCCAGCTTATTCCAGTACCGAGTTTGGGTTGAACGACTCCAGATCTATTGTATCGTCGCCAAATTGCGGGCAGTTGTACAACATATTCCATCCATCTGATCCTGTAAGCTACCGTATGGAGCCACTGATATCGCCGGCAATGTCGTCGCTGAAGTCTCAACCCTTGCCATCTGTGAAAAAGAGTCTTTGGACAGCATCCGGGGAAAGCTTGTCAGTATTTGGCAATCGGGTAGGTCAAAGCGTAGGTTCTTTGTGGAATAACCTTACTTCTGGTGTTGCGAGTGGCTTGCTCAATCGTGGGCTGAGTTTGAATTCGGGGGAACATTCTCAGCAACGATCCTATATTGGCTCAGAATCCCAGCAGACCTCGACGTCAGGCTCTGCTAGTCTGGATTCTCCAGGTGGATCCGACGATATCGGACAGCATACTGTGCTAAATCCGGCTATGGAGACACTGTATAATGGCACACCTGGGCTTAACGATAGGTTCGGCAAAAATCAGTTCCAGCCGATAGGGCCCGAGTCCGATGACTACGGGCATACTCAGCACGAAATGAAGCTGAAGGCTGAGGACGAAAAAGTGCGGTCATTGAACTCGAATGGACGAGTTGACTACAGCATCCAGGAGTAAGTTATCCAACGCTGTTCAGAACTGCATCCATTGTAATATTAAGAATCAATTGCTAATATTTTCGTGAACAGAGGGGCTTTTGATATCTCTTTAATTGCCAGCATCGCCAGCCACCTTACATATTGGGCAGATGAGGATGTCAATCATTTCATGCTTTCCCAGATGTTATCTAGACGCAATTCGCGTCCCAAACAATAGCCAGGCATTTGACCACTGACTTCTAGTACAAGAATTTACCTCGGCAATGGGTTTGGATAGAGCCGTTTTTAGATGCCCACCTGGTTGAAGGGCTTGGTGATGAGGAAAAAGGCAGATTAACTCTCTCTCTGCCTATACACCTTTTGTCTTCCCATCTTTCTTTTTTTCTGATTAATTCATTGATGGGCCCGTTTTATACTGCCAGGGCATGGATCTAGAGAGCGCATACCAATTATATTTTCTTTAGCACACATATACTTGCGAATCTGGGTTGCCAAACCTTCTAAGCTTAGCAGTTGCCCATTTCTCAATGTAGACGAGCAAGACCCCTGCAAGTGACGGTACTTTATCGAGCAGTTGATGTCTTCTATACCTGCCAAATCGACTTCACCGAGAAAACATGATCGAGTATCACCCAGTGAGACCAGATGTGATGCCTAACAGCATATTGTTTCAAAACGCAGGGATGTCCCTCACCGCACGGTAGTTTACTTCCTAGTATTCAATGGTCATAATCTGACCTGAATAACTTCAAGTTGGCAGTCAGGGAGGTGTCAAGCAGCAACTGTATGATATACACACAACGATGGTTGCGCAAGCCTAGAGAAATTAGACAATTGTTATGCATATAGTATCTACACACCGTACCTACATGGATACCTAAGGTAGTCAGGCTACAGATACATAATCATCCAGGAATCCAGGAGGTTAGTACTGAGTGCCTATACTAACAGACGGCTCAGTACTGCCGGGGGGGGGGGAATGCCGGGCGCGATGCCAAATGAAGAGTCAGTCAATTAGGGTGCGTCGAACAGCAAGCCCTCGCGTACTTGGAACGTATCGATACTCCGTACGAAGACCAGGTATAGAACTTTACACACCTGGTGTATTTATTACCATGTCAGGGAAGCTAATTGAACCACCTCTTTTTAGGTTCATACGCCAACAGGTTATGTATTTACGTGACTATGGCCAGGTGACTGTCCATTATGCGCAACTCAACGAGATCGTGGTTATATTGATACACTAGATTCGGTAGTACGGTACGGTACAAGGGTGGTGTTTTGAGCTATAAACAAACGTTTGTTGTGTTTGCAAATCCACTTTCCGCACTATAAGTTCTCTGATTTCTTTCTGTAATCGATCTCTGCACCACCCTTCTCCTCAACCTTTGCTCTTTATCCATTGAGCCCGATAATTCGGCGCCAACTGATTATCATGAATCAAAATCAGGAAATGGATCAAGTCCAGAAGGTCTGGGGACGCATTCGTGTCAATAGTCCCATATATGCCTTTCTCCTTGACGACATAGAGATCTATTATGCCGAGAAAGGTGTTTTCCAGGCTCGTCTCCAGGTTACACCTCGTCATCTAAACTCTAAGGGCACCCTGCACGGTGTTTTCTCGGCCTGTGTTACTGATTGGGCAGGTGGACTTGCAATTGCTTCCTGTGGTCTCGACTCCACGGGTGTGAGCACCGATATCCATATCAACTATCTTTCTACAGCAACTGCAGGAGATTGGCTTGAGATCGAAGGCCGCGCTGACAAAGTCGGTAAGACGCTTGCATTTACAACAGTGTCCATCTCTAAGAGATTGGATGCTGAACACGTAACAATTGTCGCGCGTGGCTCTCACACGAAATACATAAAATACAATAACGGCCAACATCCCAGCAACAATACGCAGGACACTGAGCAGTAGAAGAAGGAAAGAAAGAAAAGGGGAGAGATGAGACGGTATTGAGAAAACTACAAAATCGCTGCCTTTTTCTTCCGACATGACATGCATTTACTTTGAATGTTTGGATTCACTCGGGCAGCGTAGAAGAAATCCACTTCTCTTTTGCCCTTTCTGCGGTTTCTACACAAACAGCGAGGCATTAGAGAACAGGACACATTATTATAATTATGTTATACATGAGAGATTAGAGTTCTGTACTATTGGTCTAATACGAAGGTTATTTGTTCCGCCATTTGTTCTCGCCAAACAGGATATCCGTACCTCTGGGAGATTTTTAGGGTAGACGAAGCTTACACCGTCACTCGTGTACTCTAGTAGTTACCGACTACGCCATACCCAGTAATTGACTATTACCGCATTGCATTATTATAGACGGTGTACGGAATACAACCTCGACATTGCTCGGTTTTCCCGCAGGCCTACCAAGGTTAGTTCGCCTGAAGAAGCACGCTGCATTGCTTGTTGTCCAGAGGCGGTGGCAGAATATTCTAAACCACGTCGTTGGTATGGACAACCCGCAATGACGGTCTAACGTAACCTGCCCCGGTACGGATACAGTACTATCTACTCCATATATAGGCCCGAAAGCCACTACCGTTAATTTGACAAACCACCGAACCAACTCCTATTGCAGCATTTCAGATTCGAGAGTCAGTTGTGCAATCGTCGAGTCGACTGGGTGGAGTCTATTGATATCCTCAAAGACTCGTTCTTGCACGCCTTGATTACTAGCCAATGCGACACCTCACGGTGACTTATAAACATGGTCACTTCAGATGATGTGTCTTCTTCCCACCAACCTGAATCTCAACCAGCTAAAGGGACGCGAATAACAGACAGTGCGGACCCTGAAGACGTGCAGTCCAATTCCTCGTCTCCTCTTGTCCAGCCCAAAGACGCACTTGACTACATTCTCAACCTCCTCGCAACATCGAGCACTGAAGGTCTGCTTGGTATTTTCGCTCTTTTGATAGGAGTGACATATATTATTTTGGGACGACTTGGTCTACTTTTGATTGGGATAGCTACTGGTGTCGTCTTACATGCAACGTGGGAGGGAGACGCAAATCATGCCGCGAGTGGACCATTGGATGCACGAAACCCCGTCAGAAGGCGAGAACTTGCATTGGACATCGCGAACAGGCTACTTGATTGGCCGACACGCAAATCTGGCGAGGTTGACCGGAAAAATGATGATCGCCAGGGACAGAATGCTGTCCAGGAAGCATCAGAGATACAATTGGATTATTCTTCCTTCCGTCCCGAAACAGCAGCTGCCTTGCGCTCGTTAACTGATGCAGTCATCAGGGACTACGTAAAGTAAGTCTCCAACTTCTATGTCAACTCACAGACTTACCATAATGGAGTCCAGTTACTGGTATGAACCGATATTGCCAACTGAGTCGACATTTCCCATGTCTTGCCGGCGATTGTTTGCCTCATTTGTCTACGCGGTGTCCTCTCACCTTTCGCGCAAACGCACATCAGATGCCTTTCTAGAATTTCTTACTAATTCCTCCTCCATGATCATTGTATTTTTAAACGAATTGTCCACAGCCCTCGAAAACTCCGGGTCTTCTGCACCGGAGCAGACCATCCTGCACTACATAGAATTACACCCAGAGAGCAGCCTGGCAAATCTTCTGGCAGGCCAGCAACAACAGAAGAAGCTCAACTTGATAGCAGACGATATATTATCTAACTTTCTGGACCAGAAGGCATACAGTTGTCCCACGGTAAGGAACTTTTTACGTGAAGTTCTGTCTGGGGTCGTTTTCGAAACGACAATTTCGAGTCTTTCGCGCCCTGAATTCATCAATGGCTGGATTATCTACCTTTTTAGTGAAGGTGAATCCGAAATTATGAGTGCCATTGATGCTGGCGTTGAAGGGGCAAGGAACCAAGGGGTCGATGGAAAGAAGCAACACGACGATATGAAACAACCTATGTCCCCATCATCGGAGCTTAGTGGGCTGAATCCAAACCGTTTCTCCAGCAGCAGTCAATCCATGCGTGATTCTAAGGATGCAGCTACCGAGCAGGCCTTGGCAGAGACAAAAAGGCTGAGTGACATGATGGTTGCGCAAAACCTACAAAGGCAAAGTTCTGAGCAAACGCGTCATGATGAATCGCAAGAAGCATCATTTGAATCCGATCGAGAAGACGGGGATTTGTTTTCTCAAGACAGCGGTGAAAAATCTAACATGTCCGCTGAAGAAACTATGGATCCCACTCAAGATACCCGAGAAACTGAGCCTTTTCCGATAATCTCTTCAACGCCGCCACCATCATCGATTTCACATCCATCCCAAACCACTTCGCGAAATGACTCGGTATCGCGTCCGTTGACGCTCCATCGTGCTTCCATCTCCGTGGATGATGGGTCAGGTCCTGAAGAAACGTCATTGATCCGTTCTAAACCCGCATTGGATTACCTGCTCCAAATCGAAGCTGTTTCTTCAGATCGCGCAGGATGGATGGTGTTTAGGAAGTACGCCGATTTCGAGTCTCTCCATGAGACGTTGGAAACAATTTCGCGATTGAACAGACTTCAAAAATTTAGAGATAACCATCCCGTCCTTCCTTCGTGGAAGGGCCAGACGCAATACGCACTATCAAGGGAACTTGAGCGATATCTGCAGGATGCTCTTGAGTACGAGCAACTTGCGGAATGCGAGAAGATGAAGAGGTTCCTTGAAAAAGATGGGCCCATCAGTCCTCAATCTGCTGGGAGCTCTGCAAAATCTGGCTTTTCCTTTCCCGCACAAGCTGCGATTGAGAATATGGGAAAGGGTGTTCTAGGTGTGTTCACGAATGCACCCAAGAGTGTGTCTGGGGGAAGTAAGGCCGTTTTTGGTGGTGTGGGTGGCGTCTTTGGGGTAGGGACCGGGAGAAATGCATCCTTCAGTTCTACTGCAGCAAACGGACAACAGGTCTCCGACGGTGTCCATACAGCGGTTGGGTCATCTGCAAGCCACGAAGGTCCTCAGGAACGAAAGGTCGACAATTCACACTTGGCGTCAGATAAGAGCGCAATGTCTGACCATCCAGCGCCGCAGTTGGACCAGGAGAATAGCAATTGTCAGGCTAACTATCCCACCACTCCGTTGTCGGGAGACTCTGAAAATCTAGAACAGCCCGTCCGCCTCTCGGAGTCTACGAAGGACGCCACCAGCTTTTTGAATAAGTCGGGAACTGGAAAACACTCTATCTCTCAAGACGAGACCCGAATAGCTGTGGAGCTCATCTTCGCAGTCATCAACGAGTTGTACATGTTATCATCTGCCTGGAACATAAGGCGCACTCTATTGAATGCGGCCAAATCATACATTCTGCGCCCCGGCAATCCAAGTTTGGAGACGATACGTGTCTTGATGCAAGAATCTATGATCGATGCCAATTCGTCGGATGATGCCCTTGGATCATATCTCACAAGACTGCGTGAAAATTCATTACCAACCGAAGAAGAGTTGAAGAATTGGCCGCCGCCACCGAGCGATTCTGAGAAAGAACGTCTTCGGAAAAAAGCGCGAAGTCTGTTCGTCCAGAGGGGCCTGCCTCAGGCTTTGACAAGTGTCATGGGTGCTGCTGCTAGTCGAGAAGCTCTCGAAAAGGTCTTTGACTGCCTTCAAGTCGACGTTGTTGCGAGAGGTTTTGTTTTTGCAGTCTTCTTGCAAGCCATAAGGGCCGTGACTTTCTAGTATACAGATTTCGCTGATAGTTTTATCGATCAGATTCAAGCAAACCACATGCTACCGTAAATTGAATACATATCGAGTACATAGATCCTAGAAAATGGTAACGAATTTGGGTTCCTGCTGTATTGTATTGTATGTCTTGGCGGCAATCCCTTCCTTCCCGAGGCGGTGGTGCCGTCTTCTGCTCTAGTAAACTACGTAATAACAAAATAGACGTACATATTTGTACTCGAGACCTTCGTCCATCATCTTCACCACGTCCCACTCTATATCTCACTTTACTGTCGCCTACAAGCTATGCCTTTCACTAGAAAAAAGCGCGTGCTTAGTTCCGATCATGATTCTGGCGATGATGAGGTCTCTCATGTGAAGAGAGCCAAACCGATCGGACAAAGTAAACCCGCAACCACTGCCTCAAACTCCTCCGCGAAAATTGACGCGAATGGTGACAACTACTGGGAGATATCCAAAATGCGACGCGTCAACGTCTCGTCGTTTCGAGGAAAGAACATGGTTAATATCAGAGAGTATTACGAGAAAGATGGGCAAGAGCTTCCTGGCAAGAAAGTCCGTTTTTATGACCCATATAGCACATTGCTAAACAGCCCTACTGATTAACATTGCAGGGGATTTCTTTGCCCGTTGACCAGTTTGCTTGTCTCTTGAAAATACTGCCAGAGATAGAGACTGCGCTTGGGGAGCTTGGGGAGCCTGTTCCCCGGCCAGAATATGATGCGATTAAGAGTAACCCAGGCGAAGGAGATGAACAGCAGGGTGAAAGCGAGGGCAACACCAATAACCCACCAGATTCAAAAAAGAATATTGAGATGACAAGCGAGGAAGATGAAAGTGAAGAGTAAATTACTACCAAACCAATACAGTTGAGACCAGTATTTCATATCATGGCTAAATAGCCAATTAAAAAAGTTGTGCTGGGTAGTGATTTTGGAGTCACTTAATAATATGGTTATTTGTGTATAAATATCTCCGAAGATATCTCTAACTAGTATGAAGCTATAGGCAGCATCTTAGTAGTGATACTATTCGCTAGACCAAGTCTTAAGTACTCTGATATATGGCAAGGTTCACGATGTTCATTTATTCAGCGCTAACTAACCATAAGTTTCAATGTTGATTTTGTATAATGTATGTACTTAGCCCTCATGCGTGACGTCTATAATAACTCGGATTGACGTTTACAACATCCCAGCTCAGAAAACATTGACTAAAAGTGGCCTAGTTACAAACCATCTCTTGCAACGATAGCCAGTATCTGAGGAAGGTCATTGGATCTTGTCTTACTCGGTCGAAGATGGACTATCGTTATCTTATTTTATTCATATGTTTTTGATATGAATCAATTTTCCATTTTTGATTATGAAGTATTATTCTCCAATTTTACGGTTAGGCGTATAACCATCCTTGTAGGTTACATAGGCAATCATATAATGGATGTATACATTTTGGAGTACTAGAACACAAGGGGTGGGGC